CTCTTTGGAGGATTGATCTCTGCCTTCCAGATACTACCTGTTGTACGGCTGAGGAGTTAGTTCTTTCTGTTGGAAATAAAGGTTTCTTTGCCTTGTCTTGCTGAGTCCTGACTGTTGCAAGAGGGAGGTGTTACTGTTGTTGAAGACATTTTGTAATCTTTGGGTTGTTTTTAAGGAGCGGGGGATCAGAGAGAGAAGATAACTCTACTTCTGTGACCTTTCTCCACAACTCAAGATTTTTGTTTTATTTTTGTTCTGGTGAAGGGTAGGAGGCAGTGGGGGAGAAAATCGCTCTTTCTCTTGAATAATGTTTTACTTCCTGTGTAGTTCTTAGCAGCTGCTTCTTGGGAAAACTGATGTGACTTAGTTGAGATGCTGTGCGGAATGGTACGGCCAGCAGTGACGCTCAATGCTGTTAACTTCTGCTTCAAGGGGCTCACAGAAGCAGGAAAAGCTGTAGAAATGCTGTCAAACTTGGAAACACTTTACTAGCCTTATATTTGATCTTCAGATATCCTTAGAGAATGGCAGAAAATGAAAACCTGACTTTGGAATATGGCTATGTGGGTTGTACCCAGTTTCCAAACAGGCCTGCCATTAAACATTACTCATTTCTTTCGCTCTAGCCAGAGTTGTCGTGCGTGTGGAGGGCCTGCTGCATGTCGTTCTGCAATTAGTGCTAGGTTCTTAGAAAGCTGTATCAAACCATACTTTCCAAAACAGAAGGTAAATTTTATTACGCTGTTGGTACAAAAGTGAGTCAACTAAATGAAAATCATCAGGCATGGCAATGAATGGAAATGAAAGAATGACTTCTCCCTCATAATTGTCTTCATGGATTTTAAAATGTGAGTATAGTCCAATTTTTAGCATGCGGTTTAATAGTGTGCCTACAGTCTCCTGGTTGAGTTCTGTTCTGCAGGCTCTTTTTGAATAAAGAGTTGAGGTGTTGCGCAGATCACATTCAGGACTACTGGAGCGCTCCCGTGCTTCATTGTGGTGTTCTAGTTGTTTAAGTGTACAGCTCTTGTGCGACTGCGACTCGTTTCCAGCAAAATCCTCTGAATAGTCTTTACACAACTTCGTATGTATTCAACCGTACCCGTTCCAGCATTTGAACCGGATTTCAGGAATAAATTAAAACCCTGTGATGATACAAAGTATTGATTGTTTAGCCATGACTTTTTTCAGAATAGTTCACTAAAAAAACCCAACAAACCAAAACACATGTATAGTTTTGGAAGCTAAGAGAAGACCTATGTCTTCAGAAGAGAAACTTTCCAGTACTGCTAGCTTCTGATTCCTGTAACGAGTACAAATATCTAGACTTTGATAAGAGATGTTTATTTTGATACTAATTTAGAGCAGATTTTCCAACCAGTGAGGCACAGTACTGGGCCAAACTGAATAAGCTCTGCCAAGACCTCTGCTCTCTCCATATAGAACCAACTAACGTCTTTGTTCTGGAATTGTGTTTTGTCCTACCTGTGCTAGAGAATCCAGTGTAGAGATCCCTTTGTGGCCCTGGGCGGAGTTGGTGAGGACCAGGTGGACTGTCTAGCTGTTTCAGCTCCAGCTGCAGCAGAGCCTGCCGCGAGTGAGAAGACTGGATCGGCACGAACTTTTATGAAGTAAATCACACGCCTGCCCTCCTCACTTCAAGACCCTTTTGCAGTGCGAACCAAAGTAGCCGAAAAGACACAGAGCAGATTCCTTTTTTGGTAAAAACTAGGTTGGAAGATGTGTTTCAGCCACATTGATTTGTGAGAGCGGACTAGAGCTAGTCTGAAGCAAGAGTGAAATGCTTACAGCATGGAGGTCGAGCCTTAGTGCCCGTTGCTTCCTTCTACAAATGCACTACCAGAGATAGCTGGTACTTGGCACCATAGAGAGCCAGCAGAGGGGGAGGAATGAGAGTGCAAAACGTTCACGGCTCTCCAAGTGAGATTTAGCACCAAAAATCTGGGAATTGCTGATGTTCTGTAACAAATCCTACGGATTTGTTCTGTGCTGTTGTTTTGTATAGTAAATTAAAGAAAAAAAAAAGTGTTCATTTTTGCCATAGTGAAGATTGGAAATTAAGAATGTGTCTATATTGGTTTACTACTTAGAGAACACTCAATGTGTTACTTAATGTCAGTTTTTTAGTAGGATACTTTTTTGGCAAGTCATTAAGATTTTGCTCTTAGTTATTTTTAAAAGGAGCTTTGAAAGGCCTTTTCAATACTATTGTCTTGAAGAATAGCATGATTTAACTTCTTGTCTCTCTCAAGTCCTGAGTAAAATTTGAGCTACTTTTATTTCCTGGGTGTCTAAAGCTGCTTTCTCAAGGCATTCTGAGAGAGTCCATGTGAGGTGTTGCTGCAGCCTGCAGTAGGGATCAATATCTATATTTGGGAGGGTTTTGCTGTGGTGTGGTAGTCACCCTGTGAACTGTCCTATAATTTCATTACCTCAGCTTTGATAAACCAAACAAGAAGGTAATTGACTTTGTAAAACGGATTTCTCCCAATGACTTTATCTCCTCGGTGTTCATTGTAGAGGTAATAAGGTTCTTGTAAAAGGTTAATTGTCCAGCTTTGTGTCTTGGGCTGCAGTTTCATAACTGCTTCAAGGTAGCAGTGCTCTAACAGAGCAAGTCTTGTATTTCTCCCCCTCCCTTGTGCCAAAGAGAGCACCACTGCTGTGTGGCGGACTGGAAGAAACTCACTTGAGCTAAAACAAATTTTCGGCTTTTTTTTCTGTCTTACTTTTAATGTGTATTAGTTTCTGGGTAGGACTCACTTTGTGGATGTCTGGGATGGTGCAGGATGTGAGCTGGGAGGGGAGAAGACTGATCCTTTCAGTGGTGGTGATGGCTTCAGGTGATGGTGAAACTGCCATGTTGTTTATCCTCGACTTGTATCTTTAAAACATACATGTGTGTATGTGTGTTTTATTATTGAAAAAAAGAAAAAAGAAAACAATAAACCAGTTCATACTTATTGTGGACTTCCTCTGTTTTGGGTAAATATTGGTATAACTTTAGCATGAGGAAAACTATTGCAAGTACTGTTCTTGATTTGGAACAAAACCACGATTGCTAAAAAGTTAATTGTGGTGCAGATTCACTTCTTAACTAAAAAGTATTTTCTGAAATGGGAATTTTTAAGTGGTTGTTCAAAAGTGAATTGTGAGAGTTGAAGAAAAGATGTTCTTTCTCAGCAATTAGGGATGGATAAGTACCCACCAAAGTATTTTCGTGTTGTTGGACTTGCTTTTAACCAGTTTCACTGTAGGCTTGTGTGGATTAAACATCAGCATCTAGAAAGGAAATGGAGAGCAAGAGGTGAATTAATTTAGTTGGATAATGCGCCAGTTGTTGCACAATGCTGATGTGTTTGCTGAACTTTGTGTACTTTTTGACTTGTACCTGAGCTCCTGAATTGAGACATGTAATTATAAAGCTGTGCTGAAACAGGTGGTCGTAGATTGTGATGTGCTTTGTAGTTAAGTATATGTATCTGGGAAAGCTTGTCATTCCGCCCAATTTTTGAGTTGATATAGGTCTACATTAAATAAGTTATCCTGTTTTAGGGCACTGGGTATTCATAACATGTTACAAAGCTGCTGGAAAGAATAAAAGCCTCTATCCTGAGTCTTTTACAGGAACTTGAACAAAACAAGATGTTGAAAACAGTTCAAAAACCCCAAAGAATAATAGCTGTGAATGCAGGATAACATTAATGAAAGTTTTGTCTCTGTCTCTGCTGTGAGAGAAAAGAGGCTGTAGAAGATATTCTGCTTGGAACATAGATCTTCCTTCTTGAAGTATAAGAACAGAAAAACCTACTGTAAGAATGAAAAAAAAAAAAAGAGCTGCTGCATTTTCATATCTAGGAAAAAATATTGATATGAAATGGACAAAAGCTGTTCAGCTTACTTTCACTGTGATAGAAATCCATATAAAGTGTGTGGGGTTTTTTTTTGTCGGTCCCGTCCCCCCCATTTATATGTTGTCCTGTTGCTCACTAACCCTTTTTTTTCCCTTGCACCCTCCCTTCTCAAATGTGTCTGTTTCTGAGATGTAGCTAAAGTTTTCTTGAAGAACACTGGGCTAATACAAAGAAAAACTTTAAAAAAAAAAAGTCTGGTTAAATAAGGCTATTTCCTGCTAATCTTTGAAGATGCCATGCCTCTAGGAAGTAGCATAGGTAGTTTGAGAACCCCCAATGCAGCCTTTTTGTGTTGAGGCTGGGCAAAGTACAGAAATACTTAAAAAATATAGCTTATTAGGTGACTATTAAAAGGCAGCATAGAATATAATGGTGATACTTAATACTATTTTGTTAATTCTTTACTCTATTGCTATTTTGAAGCAGTAGGGTTTTTTGCCTACTACTATAGATAGGTAGTACTTGGTACCCATGTTCAAAACCTTGAATAGAAGTCCTGAGAAAGTCCTTCTGTAAAAGTTTACTGTATTAAGAACCGTACTTCTCTGTACATCTGCCCACTATACTGGATATCCCTATGTAGTAGTGTAAATACGAAGGTTTCTCTGTAATTTTTGGTGCATTTTTCATCTGTAGATCTTGAGGCTGTCTTCAGAGATCCATATTAATCCCCTGCTTTAAGATGGAAGTAGAGGAACTGAGGCTATAAAGTTTATTTGGCTCTTTAAGGGCAAACAGCAAGTCTGCAACTTGGATGTGACTCAAGCCAATGTAGAGAATGCAGGCAGCATTTCTTCTGTTTTATTTGTAATGGCGTAATGAGCACTTGTACCTTACAGCAGCTGGGGGAGTGGAAGGGCATCTTGGTACTACCTAATACTGCTGCTCCCACTCCGGGGTAAAATTCTTCTGTGCTGCTTCTAATCCTCTGGTGAGATAAGATAGGTTGGAGTGGGTTGACTGTGACCCTTGTCCTTGCTCACAGCTCACTGAAATATCATTAACCTTACCTCAAAAGTATTTCACAGCATTTTGGTATTTGGTAGTACAGGATAAAAGTACAGGATGAAGGTAAAGGACAGGATAAAAACACAGGATGCCATGCTCATTGCTAATGCTTACGTGGTGGACGAGCATGGGTGTGAAAACTTGGTATCTGTGAGTACAAGCATTTTGTGCCCGAATGTGCGTGTGCTTATCCTTTCCTGTTAATATAACCTTTAGGCATTGTGTCAGGAAGTGGGAGGAGAGTAAGTGAAACTCAGTTATGCATTTAAGAACTCTTATTACATATAAATTGAATTTTTTTGAGGTATTGAGAGATTGAGTGTACTATGGTTAACTTAAACCATTTCAAGTTCAAAAAAATACAGCTTGTTAGGTGACTGTTAAAAGGGAGAATAGAATATAAGGGTGATACTTAATACTCTTTTGTTAATTTTTTACTATATTGCCATTTTGAAGCAGTAGGGTTTTTCGCAGAAACATTTGAAGAAAGGGCAAACATCATGAGATGTCATTAGTAATGCCTAGCAATTATCTCTAAAAATACTTTTCAAAACAAAGCATTTGGACAGTGTTATCTGAACTGCTCTGTTATTTGGAAAAAAGGCATGTCTTTTCATGGAATTTTTTTAAAGTATTGTAATCTTACTATAAGCATTGTAGCCTCCTAACAGTAAAATAAAATGAATAACCCTGTATTGGAGATTAGTCGAGTAACTTCAAGGCTGTCCAGAACACTTAGTTCTGAAAATTTTTTGTTGCAAGGTAAAAATCAAGTTATTACAAGAACTTTCTCGCTCATTACATGTACATGAAAATAAAGCTGTTTCTATTTTTTAAAAATTCAACCTTTGTTATGGAAGCTTGTGAAAACAGCGTTGTAAAAGTTTTATTATACACCTTTTTGTTCATTTTCTACTTGCTGCAAGGATACCTTGACTAGTCATGTAGATGACACTGAACTACCAGGATGTGCAGGCTACGTATTAGAGAATTCAAGTTAGTGCTATTTAACCTCATATATTCAAGGGTAAAGTGTGATGGTTCAGTTACGGTTTCATGAGCAGCTAAACCATTCTTGCAGGAGGAGCAGGAATTTGAGAGAGGAGCAAGGTAAATGATGAGGACTGGGATCAACAGCGATTCCAGTGGCTTTTTTTTGGGGTGGCTTTTTTGTTTGTTTGGTTTTTTGTTCTTTAAATTCCTGCCTGTGAAGAAGGTGCAGATCCGCAGCAATTTGAACAAGTCTAGACTGGGGCTGCTGCTGCGTCCTTTCACCCTGAGGTGCTGCCTTCTCCCACTGAGAGATTTGTACTCCTTTCCCTCAGTTGTTAGCCAGGACCTGACACATGTGACTCCATTTCATGGTGAGGGAGGTCGTGCTGGCTGGACCATATCAAGAGTAGGGAGGAGCCCAAAAATAAGTACTTCATTTCTTTCCTGAGCAAAAAGATTTGTGTCTCCACCAGTTTTTAAGTAAGTGTCCAATTGAGAAAATTGAGGAGGTGTTTTCAGATTTTCACTTAATATTCCCCTTGTACAGAAGATTGCTTACAAGCATTCTAAATATATATCTGTTGGAGATGATGCATTTTAGATTCAAAAGGTGCCTTTATCTTGGTTGGCTGGTTGAACTATTTGAAACTAGGATATTTGCTAGCATTGTGAGTTCTACGAAGGCTTACTAGTAAAGTGTCATGTATCAATAATTTTTTTTTTTTTTAATAGAAACAAAAGAATGGATGTACTGGGTCAGGTCAGATACATTCTTTACATGATATTACAAAAGTGTATGCCTTAAGGAGGGAATACCAGGACAAGCATAAATGATGCTTCCTTTGCGTATTCTCCCAGTTTCCAATGGTTTTCAATTCAATGACTCTCTTTTAGCATAGAATCTATACCGTCCTATGGCAAGGAGTTCACCAGCTCTGCTGCCCACACTGCAAATGATCACCTTTGTTTTGCACCTGCTTCTGATTTTATTTGCTTTACTGAAAGAGGCAGTAAACATTCAATCCTGTCTGTCCTGGCTGTCACTTAGGTTTTTTACAGCCTTCTGTTACCTCTTCTTGCACTTTTCTCTCTCCCAGCCGAAAGATTTGTGGCTTGTATTTTGGACATTAGTCTTATCACATGTTCAATGACCCTTTCACCTCAATTGAATGTTTTCTAGTTGCCCCTCTCTGAGAGGTGGGGACTAGGACTGTGCATCATATTCAAGGTTGTACATACCTTAAGCTTATGTGGTGGGCTAATGCTCTCCTCTTTTCCTCACAGGAATGCTCTAAACATTTGCTTTGCTTTTTATAACTAATAAGCATTCAGCTGACGTATTCATAGAACAGTTTCTCAGAACACCAAGATTGCATTCCTGAGAGGTAATGGTCAGCCCCAAGCTCATCCTTATGTATATAAAATTAGGATGGTCCCCATTGCTCTTTACATTTTCATACCCTGAATTCCATGTGCCATTCTGTAGTCCGCTTGCTTGATCTTTACAATTCTTTAGGATACCCTTGCCTTTGTTGTCCAGAATAAGTTAATATCGTCCAGAAGCTTTATTTTACTGCTCTCCTCTTTACCCAGGTTACTTATTAGTGAAATCGGAGTACCGTAGTTCCAACAGATTCCTGCAGAACTCCTGGCGATTTCCTTCTGCTGTGAGAATTGTCCATTCATTCTGTCTTCTAGTCACATATTTATTTTTGCAATAGTTAGATGATTGTCCTGAAAGAGTTTTAAGAGGAACCTTTCAGAAGCCTTTTGGAAACCACAGACTGTATCAGTAGGATCTCCTCTTCCATATGTTTACGTCCTTTAGAGGACTCAAGTTTGTAAAGCTCACTTTCCCTTTACAAAAGCCCCACTGATGATAAATGGATGTATGGTACTTATCCCTGTGTCCGCTAATTCTGTCCTTTATTATAGTTTCTTCAAGGTGTGCATCAGAACAATACTGAATACAAGCATTTTTAGTGATTGGTGGTTTGCTAAGTGACTTTTGTCTACATTTGTTTTGGATTGAATGTGTTCTGGTTTCCTCCTCACACCAAGTTGATAAAATAAAGCTAATAATTAAGGATGTGTAAGTCTTGGAGCCCAGCATTGTTGATTTCATCTAAAATTGTTAGCCTTGACTCATGTGGGTGTTGTTCCGTATTAAAATGGCCAGTTTTCTGATTCCTCTCAGATTCCATTAAAGTTTAGCTGATAGACCTGCAGGTCCAGCCCTACTATAAATTTGGTTATTTAGGTGATGTAGCTTAGAAGTTAGCATGGTTAGTCCCACTGATGGTTTTGTCAGCACAAATGAGACAGTATACTAATAGGAAGGAGGAGGTTTGGAAATGGCTGGATTAGGAGTAATGTAATCTGGAACTGTGCCCTGAGACCAGCAAGGCTGACTGTAAACAGAAAGTCCAAGTAAGTAAACTCTGAAAAGAAGTCAACTTTCAAGATGTTGAATCATCTTATGTTACTATTTATTAAAGTTGTTAGTAAAAAATGCTATCTGTTGGTCAGCAAATACATGTGGAACAGTGTGTGAATGAAAAGTTAGGTTATTTTTTGTCCCTTTTACGCTTAATCTAGTTGCTGTGAAACATGCTCTAGAAAAGAAGAAGCCTTGCTATTAAGGTCTTTCACAGGACTTTCTGTAGTTTATGAACTGCTTGGAATTTTAATAGTTAACAACAACATGTTGCTCGAAACAGGTGATTTTTTTTTTTATTATTTCTATGAATATTTACTATACAGAAAAAATGTCTTTGAAAGCAACTAGGGTCAGATTATTCAGCTAAAACATTTTAGTGAAGAGGCTAACTTGGACATGACCTCGTTACAGATAAACTCGGGGTAATGAGGAAAATTCTTGCAGTAATAGACATTAAAATTAGAAAGCATCTATTCAGATCATGTAATTCTGCACTGATATGGTCAGTTCAAAGTCCTGAAACATGCTTTCCAGTTTTTTTAAAAAAAAAAGTAATCTTAATTGAAACACTAGTGGTCATTTGAAGGCTTTTGGATTTAAGCAACTGCATTTTAGAACACTTCTAAATCAGTTTAATTTGCTTCATGCCTCATAATTTGGGGTTTTACACTAGAAGTCAATTCTATTATAATAAGGTTTGAAATTATTTAGTACTTCAGAGGAGTTGCTGACTTTGAGTTACTGCGAGTTTGAATCCTGCCTCTTAGTTGCGGGGAAGATGGGTTACTGCTTTAGAACATCGTTATCAGTGTTTGTCAGTGGCTTCTTTTGAAAGTAAGTGTAGGGTTTTTTCCTAATCCTGAGATTTTTAAATTATTCCCGGATACCATACTATATCCATGTGGAGTCTATTTTACAATAATTATCAAGGAAAACATCAACAGAGTTAAGCAAAAATGGGCTCGTAAGGCAGTAGGGTAGCGTTTTCATACTTGTATTCATCACCTGTTATCTGAGAAATGATTCTTTGATTAAAAAAGTAAATTTGTTCAGAGAGCCCCAATTCAAGATCTCGGTAAATAAATTGTTTAATTTCTGTGATTGTTGAAGTAGGAAAAAGTCCAAGACTTCAGCTTTTGCGTGTGTATGTGTATACGTTGCGTATATGTACACATGTACATACCTGTTGAAAGGAGACAGGAACCTATTTAGTGCACAGTTTAGAGGATTAGAACTGTAGAACTCTGAATAAAAACCAGCAAAATCAGAAACTCTCAAGAGCAGTGTTTCAGCTGAGCCTGTTACCCTCAATTTTAACAGAACAGGTTTAATGCTTAGAGCCGCGGTACCCGTGGGTCATAGCCTTTAGTCAAGACTTGCATGCTATGTGTGTTACTTGTATCTTGTGATGCATTCCACAGGTACAAGTTTCTAAGACAGGGCTAGAGAGAGGATGACATGCTGCAAGTAAGTTTTGTGAAAGTCTTGTCTTTAAAGTGATCTTGGCATTTCCTAGGCTGCAGAACTCTGTCACTCCGTGTTCCTTGCTGAAAGAAGTCCTTTTCTTTTGAAACCAAGCAGCGTTCTCCTTTGAGTGAATTGTTCGCATCTGGTGGGCAGAATGTTTCATATGCACCTCCTTATATTTCTTTTTCTAGTACAGTCCGCTGGAGCTGTATTTTAGACTTGTTGCCTTTGCTTTTCTTAGTAGCCTGAAGGCAGAAAGGACGCAGGAGGCTGGGACGTACTACCGTTCTTTCCTACTGTTTGAGGCAGAATGATGGAAAACCGGTGGCTTCCATTTATTCTGGATATGAGTTTTTTTGTTAGTTTTTGGTTGTCCTAAAAATTGACTGTATGATCTTTTTAAACTTTTCTATGCTTAGATACGAGTACTGATGCCAATAGTCGTATTCTGTGGCTTTTTTTCCTAAAACTGACCTGCGTTTGTTGCAGCTGAAACAAGGTTCTGGTGATGAAAACTTTTCTCTTCTATATTATTTCAGGTGTACCTCTTTCCATTCCCTCTGTTCCAGAGTTGCCCATCTCCAATAAATGTCTCTTTTCCTCAGGAGGATGTAAAAAATGAAAAAGAATCTCACTTAGGTTTTCTTTTGGAGCACTTGTTGGAGCCTCTAGAACCTGAAACAAAAAGGTTAGGTCTAGGTAGGGATCATTTGTCAGGCATTCCTAAGGATAAAATGGATCTTATAAAATATATAAGACTTCTCTAGCGCTTTCAGTAGTAGAACAGTGAAGACCACTTCTGCTTCGCTGTCAGAAAAGAGTAGGTCAGAAGTAATTTCTGAAGTAACGGCTAGGTTAGGCTACCCTAATTACTAAAAATGGAACAAAACTCGTGCAGTGCTGTTGTATTTGTATTGCATTATGGTGTTCACTCCAAAATGACTTGTATCCCAGATCTTTCTTCTGATGTCTTGTCATAGCCCAGTTGTCTGGTGCCCTCGTCATTGCCCACAGAAGTGGTTCATTCTTCCTGTGGTCCTGTTTTTAACATGTTTTGTGGAGTCGTGCCAGCATGTGTGTCACAGATTCTTCTGGTAACAGAGGGGCTTGTGTTCCTGAGCTGCCTGGCAGCGCCCGTGCTGCCAGCACCCTTCGTCTTCCTCGTGTGCTGACAGAAGCGTGTCTGCTTCGCTAGTCGTCAGTAGGACTGCCGAGGTGGTGATCCGAGTGTGGTAAAACAATATGCAGTTGCTGCGTTTCATAAAGGCCTTGGTTTTTGAAGACAGCATCTGTATGAGAAGCCAAAGACTTTGTATTCTTATGATGAGGGGGCAAGGGAGAAGTGCAGAAAGGCAGTATGTGTGCCAGTAAGTAAGGTATGGGTATAGGTGAACATCAAAACCAAACTTCAGTTAGGCATGGCTGACTTGTAGGCCACAGGTTGTATGTAATCTATGGAAACGGTGAATCCAACCTGTGATAGCTTCCTTCTGTGTTTGTGTGCCCAGTGTTCCTCACCCATTGTGTGATGGGTGAATGAACAGATGTTGAGACAGACATGAGAAAAATCTTTTGCTGTGTGAGGGTGATCGAACACTAGAACAGGTTGCTCAGAGAGACTGTGGGGTCTCTGTCCTTGAAGATAGTCAAAGGCGCACAGCCAGAGCCCTGTGCAACCTGCTTTGCTGACCCTCCTCTGAACAGCAAGGTTGGATCAGATGATCTCCAGAGGTCTTTTCCAACCTCAAATGCTCAGCTATTCTGGGATGCCCAAGAACTGTGTAGTCTGGGTTAGCCACCCAGAAAAAGCAGACACCTCTGGCTTATTTATCCTAAAATCGCTCTCTCTAAAGACCTGGATATTCAAGAGGCATGCGTAAGTTCTGGCAAAGAGTCGTCAATTGTTTACTGAAGCATTCTCTGCTGGTACCTGTATTATCACCTGGCATACAAAGGAAGAAAACCTTTAGTCACCAAGTAAAAGAAATAAAGATCAAAGATGGTCTTCCTCCTCTCCCCTCCCTCCCCCCCTTTAATAATTGCTTTGAGCTTGTCATTCAGATGTTGCTTCTTTGGATTCAACATAAAGTTGACTATATCTCAAATCTATAGATCAGTGATCTTCAGTCATTCTCTAGTTAAGGTATGTACCCAAATGGACAGCTACCTTTAAGGAAGCAAAAGTCTAAAATACTTGTTAATTACTTTATTTTCACTCAAAAGTAGTAAGCAGATTAGTGTACAAATGAACTTTTTTTTCGCATTTAGTGATTAATACCTAGCTGTGCTAGGGTCTTGATTTTATTTTCATTTGTCTAAAAGCTTTAGACAATGTTGGATTAAAATACCTACTTGTATTACTGGAGGACCTGACTCGCTCTTTCTGAATAATTGAAAGAGATGGCACTCAGGTTTCCTTTTGCACCAGTAATTGTTTTATTTCTTCAGAAATTGTAGAGTGTATTAAGATGTAGTTTTGGTTGGATATTCGCATACATTTGTTAAGATGTTATAATAGGCACTTGTGAGAACCCCCTGAAGGTAAGAGAGTTGTACTGATGAAAAATTGCTTGTGAATCTTGGGAACTTTGGATGCATCCATAGCAATTTGGGGGGAAATGGAGGAAGCATGGGATGCTTCCCCAGATTATTTACAGAAATGAACTGGCACTCTACATCCTCATCTGATAGGGGTGCTTTAACAATACCTTGATGCATGGATTATTGTTAGCGAGATTAATTCAAAAGCCCACGGATGCATTACGCCTTTGCTTTTCAAGGCTATTTAATACCTATTTTAAAAACTGTAGGAGAGATTCACTATTGTTAAGGGGCTTACCCATCAAATGAGAAGTTGTTCTGACTAGAGGAAAAGCATTTCCCTCCCCGCCACTTGTCTCCCTGTAATCCCGTATCAAAGGGCGGTGTCTGAAGTGCTCTTATGCTTTAATGGGGAGCCATAATCTGGAGCGAGAAGGGACAGAGAACTCTTATCTGCTTTTCATACTCTGAACCTCTTAAAAGATTCCAGAGCTAAAATACAAAGAAGGTACAATTCCTATTTCACTGCAAAGCTTTACCCTGAACAGCATGTAATGTATTTACTCCTGCATGCTTGGGGTCTGCAGGATATTGTAGGGACAGTGTGCCAGTTCTGTGGCACGGCAAATCCACTTGTGTGAAAGAAAGCTCCTTGGGAGAGGAAGGCAAATCAAAAAAGGATCTGATTTATCCACAACTTGCTCATTAGGAATACATTGCTGCTCTTGTTAAGCATGGTAATTATCTGGTATTCGGCTCTTGCTAGCCTTTATTTTTGTCCTTCCCCCCCCCGCCCCCCGCAACCAATGTCTTCCTAAGAAGATAAGTATTTTCTTTGGTGCAATCACATATGTTGTCTGTAAATAAACAGGAAGTCTGTTTTTCCTGGATACAGCAGAAAATTCTTACTCAGGATGATGTTTTGCCAGTGGCTTTCCGCCTAAGCTGGGAGTGATGCTATCTGTACTCCTCCTTCTTTCTCCCAAGTAGCTGCCTGTTTTTGAATTCCACAAGTTAATAGGTGTTAATGATGACATGTGACAGAGGAAGTGCCTCAGGATAGCTCTGAATAATTTGAATAGTCTTGATTTTAGCCTCAACTTGGGAAGGATCTGATTCTCTCTTTATGTTCTGGGCAGATAACTATAAACAATCATTCATCTTTTTAGTGCTCTGTTTCCTTTTAGTGTTGTTAATCAAATGAGACCATTGCCATCCCAAGATTGGAAGAAATTAATGAGGTGTTTTTGCTTTGATATGGTTTAATCAACTGTAATTAGATTTGATCCAGAGTTGTTCAGATGTGTCTGTAAAAGCAAAAAAATAAAAGGCGATGGCTGCTTAGCATCGTGTCTTCATTTGGTATTTGTCTGAAGAGGTCCCTCTGTGCAACATAGTTGTTCCAGGACATCATTGCCAGGGACTCTTTAAGTGACTTGGGCGTGTGCTGTTTACCTGTCCAAAGGGCTTAATTTTCACTCACACCACTTGCCTGGTTGTTTTTTTTTTTTTCTTCCTTGGTGTTATTGTCAGAGTGCTCGTAAAATGTGACTCCTGCAACTGTTATTGGAAAGCTGTTCCAAAACCTCAGTTCTCTGGTTATTATAAAACACCTTTAGTTTCTAGCCTCATTTTCCTCCGTGGTCAGTTTTTATTTGACCTTATGCCAACTCTTTAGATTACCTTGCACAGCTATTTTTCTATTCTCCATGGTGCCTTCCCCTAAGGGCCTTTTGGAAGCTTTTTGGCATGGTAAGGTGAAGGGTATTGGCTGTTCTTGCAGGGAGTATGCAGAGGTGGGAAAGGAGAGGGTCATCTGGTGCTTGCAGGGCTGGAGAATAGGCAGGTTGGAGAACTGGGGCATTGTGTCACAGGGTGGCACAGATTTTTAAAGACAAGGCACAGCAGCTTGTTAAAAGCATCCTAGTAAAAACACTAAAAGAAGTCATATCCTGTTAGGCTTAGTTTTACAGGATTAAGTAAAAAAAGTTCTCTTAGTCATTTTCTATTTCTTCAAGTGCACTGGTAATCCATTTTCACATCAGTTTTAGGTATTTCCGCAAGCAGCGTAGTCAGTGAAGACAGTTACCAAACAGCACTGCCCCGTGGTTGTGCTGCAGAAATGTCTGTGGGGCTGTGATACAGATTGGATCAGGTAGCTGATCTGGGTCCGTGTGGTTGAACTGAACAGTTGGTTTCATCTTGCTTCAGCGCTGCACAACTGAATTTATCGACAATATTTGAAATGAGCGATTTATGCTTAACATAAGCACTTATGTCTTCTATGAGGCTTGTGATGCCTGATTTGTTCAAGTATCATCGATGACTTTTTCATAAAAGCATCACACTATGGCTCATAGTTGTCCAGTGACTGTTTAAAACCCCCAGCACATTTTCCTCCCTGTTCTTTGTAGCAAAGCTTTTTAGTCCACATAACTTAATCATCTGTCTAGTCTTTAATGCCATCAGCTTTTTTTCAACTGCCAGTTCTATGTGCTAGTAATGTCTCTTAGTTTTGCATTAAAAAATGTAGTTCAATTTTAAGTGACAATTAGCTCGCTTCTAGTTGTGGTGGATCCAGTTCTGAACCAATAGAGATCTCCCACAATTTTTGTCTTAAAAGAAAAAAAAAATTGCAAAGAGAAAATGCCAAATTAATTTGCATTCTACCAGTAGGGAGTCAGCGTTGCATTTTAACCCTGTTTTCGTTGTCCTCTGAATTTTTCCTTCACAGTGCTTTCTAAAGCCTTACACAAGTGAAACTAAGTGGGCAGTTGCTTAACCAAATATTAGTCATATCCTTTTTGTTTAGAAAGTTTCATGTTTAGTACCTGTTTTAAGTATGTGAACAATCTTTGTGGATCAGGAGAACTGCAAAATACTTGTGTGGTTTATCTGTTGCACGAAATTGTGAGACAAGTTTTGAAGCTTATTTTGAAGCCCTGCAAGAGTTGGATCAGATGCAAGGGATTGAATTATCCTCCCTTATCTACATCTTTCCCTCTTTGGGGATGATGGGACTACTAATCTAATCTTCTCAAGGAATCCCATCAAGCTGTTTAATGTCATGCTGAGTTTTGGGGAAGATATACTTTATAAAATTAAGTAGTTCAGAATAAGCTGATACACTTTTTCTGGTTCTGGTACCTTGTCTCTGCAAGCTTTAATATTTGACTGCTTTACTAGTTTGTGGGTAGACAGGTATCCTCTGTGTTCCCACCCTCTATTTCTGCCAAATCAGCTAGAGCTTGAAATATCATCCTGTGCTCACATCTGGTCCGGGTTAAATGTGAACTCATGGTTGAGCTGGTGCACAATATTGGCATTTATGGTCATGTTTCTCTGGCCTCAGATAGTTTGGTTTGCAGATTGAAGTCCTAGACGTTTCATCTGAATTGCATGCTTGCTTAGAAATTAAAGTAGATCACTGAGCACCATATCCCACCTCCCAGTATCTTCAGAATAACTAAACAGAGGTTGTCACTGTCTTCCACAATCACCTTTTAGAAATTTGCCAAAGAAAAATGTTTCCGTGTAGCATAACTGCTGTTTTAGTTAAGATGAGGGCATCACCTTGTTAAAAGTGCAAAGTTGAGATGTAAGACTTTTTAGGATGTGATTGACATTGTTAATGTAATTCCTGCATTTAGATAATTCACAAACTTCTTTTAAATTGGCAAATTTAGTCACTTCGTTCACCAACAATATCTAAATGTATTGAGACAGGGTATATTTTTTTCCTTAATTCTCTCTCCTTTAGTGTGAGAAGGGTCAAGTGGTCTTATTCTTTTGCAGGCAAAGTACTTACAGTGACCTCCTCAGTTCAGAAGTGTTGCATAGTCTATGGATAGACAAGTTACTTAAAAGATAAACAGGATTGAAGTCACTTTATAACATACAATTTCAGTGCTTACAGAAATTCTCTACAAGGTATTTGCTTTCCACCATACTTTTCTTAGCATAAAAGACTTCTTTGACCAAGACGAAGTTGGTCTTGATTAACTCTGAAATACAACTAAAACTCTCTTCACAGAGAGAGCTTCCATGCCATGTCATGGTGATGTTGATAGTATAAATACAATTTCCTTCCAGCCCCATCCTGTCGTGAAAGGACGTGGGAGGAAGTCTCGTTGGCTAGTTTGTCATTAATGCGTATACTCTCTTGCCAAGGGCCCATATTACTGAGCTATATGGCTTACAGACAGCTGTTATCTTACTCTTTCCTCCCTTTCCCCCTTCAACAGGAAAAACCTAAATGAAGGCAACTTATAAAAAGCAGATGTTGCAAAGAGGAGGAAAATGCATCCTATTTTGAATTGAGGAAGTAGCTGTTGCTCTAGCTGCACTCTTTAGTTGTATACAAACACCGTTTTGCATGTGGATTAGGTTTTTTTGGGTTTTGTTTGTTTCTCTTGCACACAGTAGCTGATGTACTGAAATGGGAGACTTGTTGGAGGTGAGTATAAAATGGCAGAAGTAAAATTTCCAGGTGCTCGTTAGCCAGGCAAAGGCTGGGTTCACAAGTGATGGTTGCTATGTGGCATGTGGAAAATAGGATGGATTGTTTTTAGGTAGCGGAGAATAATCTGAACAACTTCTTATGTTTATGGATGTGCATTGTCACTTAAATGGATAAAAAACATTCTTTCCGCCAATATTGCTGGACCTTTTGTTAGTCCTCCAACTGACCTTGTACTGCCTAATCCAGGATGAAGTGAGCGTGTTTGCTGTTTTGCTTTTTGTCAGATTGGTTACTCACAATCTTTCTCTTTATTTTTATAGAGCAAATTCGATTAAAGAATATAAGAAATGTATATGGAAGATGCTTGTGGTATCGTTTGCGACTGTTAAAACCACAACAAAACATAATTCCTACAGTAAAGTACGTACATTTCATTTGCATGACTTTCCATTAAAGCAATTCCTACATTTTTATTTTTATAAAAATATATTTTTTTGGTAGTCAAAGCAGCTGGAATTAGTTATATAATAATGGCTTTTGTGTCACGGAAGAGACATTTGCAGTCTGCTATATTTGAATAATTAATAGTTAATCGTTATTATCTAGTAGGGCTTGAAATCAAGATGGATGCTGTTTGTCCTTTATAAAATATCTGCTAAATGAAACCAGTGAACCTCAGCACTAATAAATAAGTAAACAATGCATTTATTTGTTCCAAAAAGTAATCCTCCCTCACTGAAATTAGTAGTGCTAGTGATGTCTTTTGATTTAAATATTTAATATGTAAACATTTATATTCAAATATATGACAGTAATAATTCGTATGTTTGGAGCTGATGGGTTTATATCTTTCAGTTATTACTTCCACCCTCAAAATATTTTGCTCTTTGTTATGCCTCTGTTTCAGCTTTTTGTTTTTTTTTTTTTAACATTGACTTTGTCTGGGATCAGGTTAAAGTCATCCTTTAAAAATAGGAAATACTATTGTATACCCGCTGAGGACAGACAGTTAAAGAATGGAAAGAGTCTTTGTTGATAGTGGCTTGCTTTTGTTTTTTTTTTTTTAAAAAAAAAAAAAACCAGAAAAAAAAATGAGAAGAGAAATTAATTAGAAATCAGAGCAGCTGTCTCATCTGTATCAAAGGTGGTATTATAACAGAAATACTCATACCTGCTTTAAAATGGCTTTAATGTTTCTTGCTATTTTAATATTGTTTCTTGAGGACTAATATCAAATGGCTTCTTATGTTATTTGTAGAATTATGCTAGAGCTAGTGGACTTGTTCATTTTAAAAATTCTTTCTTCCAAACAGGAAAATAGTCCTCCTTGCTGGCTGGGCATTATTTTTGTTTCTTGCATACAAAGTTTCCAAAACGGACAGAGAGTATCAAGAATACAACCCTTACGAGGTTTTACATTTGGACCCTGTAAGTAGTAGCATCTTTCACTAGTCTGTACTACTATAACTGTATATTCTATATCTAGATGTCAAATTTAAGACTTGGGTTTTTTTAAACAAAATAAGTTAATTTTAGTGAATGTATCTAGTGGTTTTGGGTTTTTTTGGCATCTGAAAGTTGCTGCTGCATATTGTAAAGTCAGTCGTTAGATATTCTTTACCTATACCTGTACTAATTTATAACTTTTGTATCTAACTCCTTCAAAATTCTAGTTACTTTCTTAATATAGTGAGGTGGGGTATTTTTTATGTATTTTGAATCTTACCCTGATGTTGTTTTTCTCCCTTGGTACAGGGAAACAAAAAAGTTACTCTCTTTTGTATGCCCTGTGAAAATCCTCTCAATAGCCATTTTTAGGGATGCCGCTGAATAAACAAGAATGTGGATTCATATGATTTACAGTTGTTGTACAGCAATATTTCTCTTGTAAATGAAAGGTGTGTTGGTGATGCACATTTTGATGTAGTAAAGGTTACCTTGAATCTCAGTTGCATCTGTGAATGCAAACAACAAATTCTAAATAGTGATACCAGCCAATTGGTTTATTAAACTGGAAAAAAAAGACGTAGTGTTTATCTAGGAAACAGATGCAGTGCTTTATTTATATTGAAGGTCTGATTCAAAATGGATATAAAAAGTTATATATCCTGAGGAGACAAATAGACCTTCTGGACATCTCTTAAACTCTTACTTAGTCTTGTCAAACTCTTTTCTTCATCTTAACCACAGTACCTCGAGCAAATTCTCTGCTTATGGTAAGTATTTCCTGGTACAAAGCTCCTCTTTTGAATAACAGTAGAGTCATCTTTTCAGCTCTGAAGTCTGAGGTATGTTTTACTTTCCAGTCTAAGGAAATACACTGTGGATACAGCTTAGCACAAGAATATGGAAGAACTTTGAATGCACCTGTTTTGGTTAAACTTGATGTATATTGTTAGTGTGGGAGAGCTTAATATGTGTATGAACATTAACAAATACACCTCTTGCCATTAGCAATGTGGCTTGTCAGGATAAGGGTAGGCATCACTGGTACTGCTTTTCTATGCTAAGAAAGCAATTATAGCAGATAAGTAGTTATGTTTCTAGCTAGACAGGTAGAACAAGACCTGCCTGTCGTGTGCGGAGGCAAGTTACTTAAATTCAACCTCTGCTCGCTTCCTTTGTGAATGACTGACTGCTGACTTGCTTTCTCTGGCTGACGCACAGCAACAAGATAAACTTTTGCTATTGAATGGTATCTGTTGGAACCATGCAGTTTAAAAGTTCATCTATCTGGGTTAACTTTGGTTAAGCAAATGGGGCTAGGGATTAGGTCATCAGAGGATTTTCTTTTGTCATCTTTGGCAAATTTCTACAAGTAACAACCCTGAGGGGAAAAAGGTATGTACGGAGTGAACTGTAACTTAATGTTTATTAATGAAAACTTGTACACATGCACAAGACACGTGCAACTTATCCAGGCAAAGAAACCAATACTAGAATGCTCTGAGAACTGGTAGAGGGATGGAGCATATTGTGGTAAGGACAAGTTGAATTAAAACAGAGATGTTACAAGGAGGGTGAAGAGATGGGTGTGAAGATAGAGCAGTTGAAGTAGGGCTCAAAATAGAGCCCAAGATTTCAGAGCGTGTTTGGTTTTTGTGTTTCTGTGCTATCAGATGATGTCTGTTAAATCCCCTTGAAAAACTTCCAGTTTGGACTACGTGAAAGTTAACAGCTTTCTTCTGTTACCGCTCAAGTGGAACCTTTAGAGTCGTTGCCAGCCCTGCTGATGTTGAAGTGATACAGATGTTGAAGTGTTGTTAGATAATGGAAATGTTGCTTTTAAAAAACCAAAAACCCCCAAACTTAAGGAAAAAAAAAAAAAAAAAAAAAAGGAGTTGCGGACAAGCACTTGAAAGTTTTGGCACACAATAAGTCATTTGTTTCTTTACATTCACCCTGTGGCCAAGATTTTTTTTTTATTTTAATCTTATGTTAGCATATCATCTTATAACAAGAGGCTTTTTCCTCCAGAGGAGAACCACAGTGTGGACAAAGTCAGATAATGTACATGCGCCTTATTTAATATAAAATATCAGCACTTGTTTTGAACATAGAATAGCTCTTTTTGGAGCGCATCGCTTAAATTCACTAATACGTAAGGCACTCAGATAGTATTACTGATTTAATGAGTAAGTATCCTTACTGCCATTTTACAGGTGGGATCCAAGGCAGAAAGATGAAGCTCAAAACTGGTTATAATTTTGGATTCTTTAAGTAAGACAATTGGGGCCTTAATTGTTTTTGTACGTAGTTAATGTAGGGAAGCGCTGTGTTCCAAGCAGAGTGTTGACTGACACCAACTGTCCTAGGCTGCTAAGCATTTCTGTAAGTCAGGCCTAACCTTCGTAGCCTAGCTTTTGAAAATGAGGAGTAAGCAATTAATGATAGATGGAAAAGTTTGTCATCAGCTTATCAGGGATCACATGCAACCTCTGTGGCAGAGAGAGGAAAAAACGAGGATTTTTTTTATGGGCAGCATTCATGTGAGGCATGAAAACCCTTCTCCAGCAACCTGATTTTTTTTTTCTCCACTTCCAGCTTCTGCTACTCATCTGGCATTCTTCATCTAGCCTTCAAACGGCTGTTTTTACTTGAAGTCTAACTTATTATGGAGTAAATTCATCCTGTGCATTAAATGAGGCAGGCATGCTGCTGAAAAATAGTGTTGGAAAATAATAGACACATTGTATAAAGAGAGATAAAGTAACAGCAGCTGAAGCCTCAGGATAGTTTAATTTCTGGTTTAAATTTATTGAAACAGTATCATCATCTTTAAATAACTTCCTGTGTGTTTATTGTGCAGTTAAGGTCAGCATGCTGGGCTTCTCTACCACAAAATGTTGAAGAGCCCTATGGAAATGGTTCTGTGAAACTTAGAAGATAGCTTACTAGAAAAACTTTATCTGCGCTTACTATAAAGTTTTGTGGGTTTTCTTGAATAGTGAAGTTCACAGTCCAACCTGAAAGTTAATGCACAGGGGATTGTGTTGGTGGCATTTAACAACGTGCTGTAGTTGAATAAAAATCGATCTCTTTCTCAGCTATAGGTAATGTATTCCCTTTATTCAAGAAGTTTGAAATAATTTATGGGTAGGATGATTCTAGTCAAAGGCATTCTTAAGCGGCAAGGCAATCCACTGTTCCTGGTGACTGACAGATTTATTTCTGCCTACAAGCTGCAAGTGAACCATCATATATGATCTATGAACTCTTTGCTTAAATAGAAGAATATTGCAAGTGAGAATTCTTCGTATTCATGAATATGTTTAGGAAAAGATAAGATTTGTCAAACGGATAAGGCAGCCTTACTTTTTTTTTTCCTATGGATGGGTGAATAAGGTAATCCAGAAAAAACCCCAATACCCAGCCATATGAATGTCTTTTTGTTAGACTATGACTTCTAACTTGTTTTAAAAATGTAATGGTTATAAAAATGTTACTAGAAAAATAATCATTTCCATGAAAGGCATATGTAATTTCATGACCATATCATATTAGAACATAATTCTTTAGTTCAATGAATGGTTCAGAGAAATACTACACAATGTGCTTCAGAAAATAGATATAGATTTGATTTAAGGAATTTTATTAATAACTCAAAACTTTCCTTTTTCAGGGAGCAAGTATATCGGAAATTAAGAAACAGTACCGTGCACTATCGCTAAAATACCATCCAGATAAAGGAGGAGATGAAGTTATGTTCATGAGGATTGCTAAGGCCTATGCAGCGTAAGTTTCTTTTTTACCTGCAAAAAATGGGAACTTGATATTATGGGGAGGGAGACCTCCAAGGTAATAGCAGGGATGACCTAAGCAGCCAGGGAAAATGTTTTCGGATATGTAACAAAAGTCAAAACATGTCTCAGTTCAGTGCATACTTCCTCTGTACAAGTTAGGAAGGATAACTTAATTGTTTAGCAACTGTCAGAATACTGTAAGGTGTTAGGTCTTTGTATTAAACTTCCATGTCAGCTAGGAAAAGTGTTTCCAGTGCGATACATACTAAATTTTAAAGACGACAAAGAACAAAATGGGTCTTGTGGTTTTTAACCAACCAACCCTGTCGCAGCAATTCTGAAGCGTTGCTTAGAAAATAAATATACTGTTCATTTCACCTGGTGATAAAGCCGAAGAGTAAGAGACAGTATTTTAACTCTGTTCCCATCTAGTGACAAAGATGTTTCATTCTGGTTCTGACTCAGTTTTCTCTCAGCTCCCCCATGTCCCTTTTCATTTGCACATGCCTTGCAAGTCCTGATTTTTCACTCAGTGACTGTTTCATATTATCTATGTAGTTCTTAAAAGCTGAATCCTTGTATCCTCTTTTCCTCCAGAGTGTTTTTTGGCCTTAGCTCTGCTTATAGCTTTTTTTTTTTCTGGTCTGAGAGGTGATGTGTAATACTAGAATTCGGTATAAAGGAAATCCCTTTTTATTGAATTTTTCCATAATCAAGATGTGAGTTCAGGTTTTGTAATGCTGTTCATACATGAAATGTTAATCCAGCTTTATATTCTTTTCTACTCCAAATGATCATCTCTGAGTCCAATACTCTCTGACTGGGTTCTCTTAGATATTCCACGTGTGGAGCATGTAATGTTTAATATCAAATTTGCTTAACTGAAGACAGTTGATGTTACACAGGATTTCTGATTTAGTGGAGTGATACATTTGTATTGTGTTTTCAGTGTATTTTGTAAGTTAGGCTTAGCAAAATATAGCAATTTCAATACACAGTTCAATCACAATACCAAAATGATTCCCATTACCGGTCTCTCTAATAAGCTCCCTCTCACAGTGCTGGGAAGGCATGTGTGGATTGAAGCCAGCCCAAGCCTGTTGTTTTCTTCAAAATTCTTTTGCTAGTTGTCTAGTTCTTATACTCTATGTTGGGCTGAGCCAGGTATGCATTCCCCCCATGCTGCTCTTGCAAACTTGAGGAGACATTCATACTTTTTTAATGAAGGAGAAATGTTTACACTACCCTTGATCTGCTCAGGTGTTGATAGGTGTTTATCTAAAACAAAGACCACCCTCTGGTCCCCTTTGTGTTGAGACAGAGTTAGCTGCTTTGCAACAGCTGTGGTGAGTTGCTGTGGTCAGTCTGAGCTTCATGGCACATCGCCCTTGCCCATCCCCTCTGAGCCTTCTTCCATTGTAGGGGTTTATTGGGTCAGTCACATCATCAGAGAACCTAGCAAGTTGGTGATTTCTGCTTTTAAGTCAGTTGTCTGTGTGGTTGACCTTACTGACTGTTTGAAAGTCCTGTTTGGGGTGAGGTGAGGAGGAGAACCAACACCATGCTCGCTTGAGCAGTTTTGAAATCATACTTTCTGCTTAAACATATCTGCATCACTATGAAAGTCTCTTCAATAGGATATTCTGCATTGCTTTCTGAACTCCTGAAACATCTCACTTCTTTGCTTTGCAAGCTAGCACTCAAATACTTGGTGATACAGTTTGATACTTCAAATGCTAGTGCAAGGGCTGTGGCAGAGCATATCTTGAAGTAAATGATGGGGAAGTTCCTTAGCCACGCTGTCTTGAAAGAATATGAAAGCTACCCATTCAATGAGTCTGTTAACAAATGTGAAACTTAGAAATGACGAAGAGTTCTCTGACTCATTCACTGGCTTTCTCCTGTGAGACAAAATCTTCACGTATAGTGAATGCGTGGTCTGTTTCTTAAAGCAGCATTCTTCCTTCTAGTAACAGGGATTCTGTTTGAGGTGGTATATTATTGCCAAGAAACTGTCATTACAGAACAGGCATAGAAATTGTAAGATTTAGGAGGTGATGTCTTAATTTATTTCTTTCCTCTTAAATATGAAACTAGGGAGTTCCAGGAAAAAACAACCAAACACACACATGCCATCAAAGGCTGAAAGTCTAGAATAAGAGAATTTAAAGCCCATATGGACAACTTCTGCTATCAACTCATCTTGCATATTCACCTTCCTTTAAAAAAACAGTTAATGTTTTCAACCTTTGTTTTCTTTCAAAATTTGCTGTACTGTAACCTGGCATTGAAACGTGCTCTTTGCGGATGGGGTATGCAGTCACTCTCATGAAAGGGAGATGTGATTGTTCCGTCTCCTGTACGAGGGTGCACCTTCTGTGTCTGATTTCTTTTGCTGTCAGGGTGCTAAAAGAATTCACCTGTGTATCATAAAGGAATACAGCAGTGTTGTTTCATATCAGATTTCATACAAACAATAGCAGAAGCTGTTTAGTTTGCCAAACCATCTCTGAAGGATAGTATAACTGCCACATTTGAAAGTTTCTGTATGTTAATGATTTAGATTACTACTTCTGTATTAACTTAATCTCTCTTTTTGAAACTAGCTTAACTGATGAAGAATCACGAAAAAATTGGGAAGAATTTGGTAATCCAGATGGACCACAAGGTAACAATTATGAATGACAGAAGTCCTGTAATTTCTGTGCGTTGAGATGATAATTTGAGAAGCACTGAGATCTTACTGTGTATAGAATAACTTTTTCCTATGATTTGAAGCAATGCATCCGATCAGTTCTTTGCTTGTGAAACTGGCTCTGGGATGGTGATGGGAGGGAAGGGCAGGAAAGAGTTTGCTTTCACATTTCTCAAACTTCTTATTGGGGGGCAAAAAGAGAAGGGTATTTTTTTAATTAGTCAGCTTCAGTAAGTATCTAGAGAAACTTGCCAATATTAAAAGGAGGTGTAAGTGAAAAATAGAATAATACTCATCAGAAATTTGTCAATTTTAAACATTCTTAGTATTTATGATCAGATACTATAAATGTGTGTTGAAAAATTAACTAGCCATAATGCAATAAACACACTTTGAAGTGATGTACATGAGGATATGTATGTATTTAAATAAATACTGTATACACTGTATACACATCTGCCTTCCATTTGCTGGAAGCAAATGTTTGAGGGTAGCTCTATGCCACCTTCATCTTGAGGAGTCCTGGTGATTATCCCTATGCTGATAGATTGTTCCTGGACAGATACCTACATGGAAATTATCCTGATGATGTGTATTAAAGTTTTACAGTAGATGATCCAAACTAAAACAATTTAAGGCTGAAAGTTAATAGATTCCCCCCCCCTCCCCATTTGCAGTTGCGTGAGTCACTTGTAAAACATCTTTGTCACCATTGTTTAAGTGGACTAGTTGTGAGGAAGAATACCGTATATTTCTAGCTGCTTCTGATACTTATTACAAGCAAAAAGGAAATCTGCTATCTGTTAGGACAGGCCTCTGTAGATCTCTGCTTGTTGATGCCCTGCAGTTTGCAGGACTAAGTTATACTACATATCTACATGGAAGGACGTAAGGCCAGCTTGGAAGTAGTAAATGGAATTTGTAACTTAGTTGTTACTGGATGACACGAGGGAACTCTGCGCTGGAAATTCTTCTTCTGAATTATATCCATCCAACATGGGAAATCAGTTTTAAAAGGGAAAACACCCCTCAGACCCTGAACCAGTGTTTCAAAGAAACAATCTTCCCTCTCCCTTCAAAAAAACAACTGTGCCAACTAAATCACAGTCTGACAAAGGCATTTCTGATGGGCTAAGGTGGTGGTTCAGTTTCTTTAACCACTTTGTTTCATAGCATAGCAAATGTCTTTCAGCTCCTAGCTTCTCTAGGTTTCCTAGACAGGCAAATAGGAGGACTCTGTCCCTCTTTCTGCAAAATACAAATAATATCTTGCTTCAGAAATGCTGTCACGATATCAGCAAAATGGTACTGTAAATTTTAGTCTGGTGTATGCACGAATAGCTTTCCTAGGACCTTTCCTGATACTAAACTTTTTTGCATCCACAAGCTGCTAACTTAGTGTTGCCAAGGCATAGGATTTCAAGTTAGGCAGTATGTCAGTGTCCTTGAATGGACCTGAAGCTGTGACTTCAAAAGAAAACTCAGCCAAAAGCTGAGAATTTAAAGGCATGAAGATCTTTGTGCGGTTGGCTCAGAGATCGCTTTCACAAACTTAAGGGACTCTGGATTCCCGAAGGGCGAAATGATTCTTTAGTAGGGCAGCAGTTCGTACTGTGAGTGTGAAGCCTCCTGCTCTTCTGAATCCTAACTCAGACTACAGTGGGATTGGAGTTCTCTGCTTTGCTTCTAGGTCTTTCACCGTTGCTTCGTCTGAAGGGTGGGAAGAAGCCTGAAATTTTCACTCTCCCATCCTCTATTCTGTACCCTTGTTCTACACTGAAGTGTGAGGAGCTTTCTAATTTAGTGAAATTCATCTTCTCTTCATTTATACACCCGTAGTTTAAAAAAAATCTGTATCCAAGCTATGTGCTCTGGTTTTTTAGTTCTGTGTAGTCAAAGAATGGAGACAGTCCCTTATAGAGGTATATTCTGGGATGAGATGAAGGACAGCTGGTGTTAGACATATCTAACCAAGTTAGATGAGGTACATCCCACCCTCTGTGCCCAGCACAAAGGAACAGCAAGGAGTATTCTCTTCTATCCAACTGAAGCAGCATGGAGGTTAGAGGCAGGCAAACAAGATTTTGTCTTTGGCATGACTTGCTCCTTTACTAGAAGTAAAATACTGAATGTGCAAAATCATTTGGAGAGTGTTTAAAAGCGGGTGAGGGGACCTGGAGAGTAAAAAGATATGCTTGTAATAATGTAAGGCAGTTTTAGTAGGCTATTTCCCCTTGATATTTCTTAGTGCTTCAGCTCAGCGAGCATGGATGGGGGCAAAGAGACTCTCAGACCAGAAAAGAAAGAGCTTTGTACTGAACTACTTCTGTTCCTGTAACAGTTTGAACCTACTATCCTAAAGGTCAAAAATATTGTGAAATTGATACCACCAGTAAAAGACACGTTACATTTTTAGTAGATTCTTCTAAAAATCCGTAACCATTAAGAGGTGGGGAAGCGTCTCCAGACTCTTCTCCAGAGCAGGGAATTTCCTATAACTTAATGTGGTAAATTCACTGGGTGTTATTCTGTTGAACTCTAAGCTTGAGATATGGTCAAGCTGGTCAGTTGTTTGAGTCTCAACAAGTAGTAGTTTCCAACTTAACTACATAGAAGTCACATTAGGCTTGTGCATAATACCTGGTTGTCTGAATTGATGGCTGTCATAATCTGTTGGAGGCAGTATCAGAATAGTATCTAAGTACATAGGGGATCCTAGTGTGTCTTTATGTAAGGCAATACTCCTTATTGATACCTGCTAGTACTGAGGAAAACACATTTTTTTGGTTTTGTTTTTTTTAAGCAGGCCGTAGAAATGTGTAAAGTCTTCCCCCCCACGCCCACCCCCCCTCTTCCCTTTTCTTGGTTTCCTAGAACGTCTAGTGTTGGGATAGGTAGTGTTTGTGAAGTTCAATTTATTACCGCTGAAGTGTCTGAAGACAAGCTATTTTATACTGTTCTGTATTCAGATCTGTGTACTGCAGATGTTACTGTTAGAGAATCACGTCTTCTATTTTCTGCAGTCTAACTCCTCTTGAATTGAAAAGTGTTCCTTTCTCTTTCTAACCAATCACAGAGAAATTTGAACTGGCAGAGGGTTTTGTTCTTACAATTTACAGCTTAGAACACTTTCCTAAAGTTACAAACTAATAAAACTTTTTCCATAGAATTCATTTGCTCTAACAGTTTTCTTGCGGTTCATGAATTTACTGATCTATATGTATTTAAACTGCTGAAAATTCTGCAAGGCAAAGCTCATAAATCTTTCTATCTGTGAAATCTTTCTCTATCTTTTTATATATTAATAAATATTGCATATCTATTTGACAGCAATATGTTAAGCTGAAATCTTTGGTATTTCAGATGTTGCATTTAAGTCTTACTATTTTATTGCACGCTTGAGTGTATTTCTAATTTGTTTTTTGATTTTGCTAAATTTGTTAGAATTTTGCTTATTGAAGTGATAAACATGAGGCTTTTTTTGTGGGTTGGTGGTTTTGTTGGGGTTTTTTGTTTGTTTGTTAGACTTAATGTGACTCGAGACCAATTCCTTAATAATTTATAGTGAATTTCTTTTCTTTCATCCTACAGCTACAAGCTTCGGTATAGCTTTGCCAGCTTGGATTGTGGATCAGAAAAATTCAATTTTGGTGAGTCAGCTTACTTAGCTCAAGATTTTAAGATGAACTTTCAAGTGTTTACCTTAAAACGTTTGTGCTTAATACTGCACATTTTGGTCAAAACATGTAGTTAATAATACTTTGGTCCAAATGCGCATCTTTGAAGCAAATTTCAGGAGTGAAAAGTGTTAGAGCAGCTTAAACCTAACCTTTGAGAGTAAAGTATTAATATGCTTGGAAGGATTTCATTGCAATGATTATGAAGTTGTACTGTGATCACCCCTGCTACAAAGTGTGTGTTTGTTGCAAGGAAACACGTGTAGAACTGTTTGCTGGATTTCTGTAGTTCCATTTTTGGTTTGCTAGTGATGCTGTAATCATACAGTGTCTAAATGTTCTTTCTGTTGCATTTGTTGCTGCAAGGTATTGGCTTACCCGCTTGATGTCTTTTAATGTGGTAATCATCTCTGTCTACTGCATCACAGTTTAGCTGCCAACTCTTTAATTATTAAAGAAACCCACCTGAGACAATGCCTGGATGATTTAAAAGATTACTTACACTAAACTGATACTCCTTATTTAAACCCTACCCAACTGATTATATTACTTGTAAGTTGTTCTTCAGAAATAATGGTAGGTATTATGCAATAAGCTTGCATTAATTTGTAGTAGGCTTGTGGTAATACTACTTGACTGTATTTTAGAATAAAGATTAAACAAGAGTGGTATTAAGTAATTGAAGTGTCTAATACACTATGTTTCATAATTTTTCTCTAGGTTTTGCTTGTATACGGATTAGCATTTATGGTTATTCTTCCAGTTGTTGTGGTAAGTGTTATCTGATTAATATTCTACCCTCTGCAACCAAGCTCTAAACAAAGCTGTCTTAGATATAGAGTTGCTCATTCTTGCCTTTCATGGAGAGAGAGCGTGAGTGAACTTTTTTTTTAATGTGGGTGTTTTCTTTTATTATGGAAAAAGTGTAGCTGCTGTAGAGTTTCCAAAAAAATGCAGTGCCACGATGGAGAGAGGGCTGTAGGGAA